CATTCTAGATAAAGTGACCATTTAAATGGCAACAGATACCTTACATACACTAGAAGATCTATATGCTGCAGCTTTAGTTGGGCTACTAATTGTTGATCAAGTGGTAAGTAATCCTGCGGTTATGTACACCCTAGTGAAACTTCTTGTAAGCAAGATCTTGAACTTTTTCAGTAAGATCTTGGTAAGAAAATATAGGAATTCAAGAAATTTCAAGAAGTCAAGATTTGTAACATCTTGTAATTCCTTGACTTCTTGTACCAAGATCTTGGAAATTCTTCAATCATCGTTTTGTTTTAAACTGTTGTGTAAGTATAAGTGCGAATGAGAGAAGTCAAACCGAGCGGATTTTCTATAAAGTAGAAAATCAACATTTTCTNGTTTTGTTTTAAACTGTTGTGTAAGTATAAGTGCGAATATTTTTACACTTAGAATGACTTCGAATTTTTTTCCTTCTTGACCACAGTTGTTTAAGGAAGAATCTAATACTCTATATGGTCGTATAGCTAATGGCTGCGACCGTCATAAATAAAAACAAAATGTAAAGAAAATTTGTCACTCAAGCTCTTGCAACACTTGAGTGCAAGATCTTGAAATTTTTTAACCCAAGATCTTGACTTCCGGATGTTTTTTTCAGGATCTTGTGACATATCTTAACCTAAGATCTTGGGTACAAGAAGTTTCACTAAGGCACTGTAAAGTCGAGAATTATTTCTAGAAAATGCTCGGCGATTTTCAAAAAGTCTATATATGAAATGCTCACGGATTTCACTAGATTATAGAAAATCGAATTTCGAATAATGCAGAAAATGAAGATCGATTTTCTAAATTGTTGGGACTTATTTATAGAAAATCCTCAGGTATTTTATACATAGTCTTTTCGAAAATGAAAAAGTCTGATTATTTTCTACTTTCTAGAGGATGAGGAAGAACAATTTGAGTGAAAATGCTGATAATCGGAGACTTGCAAAGTGAAAATGGCTGAAGATAAACTTCACCGTTATTGAAAGCTATTGAACTTCGAAGTTGAGTGTGGTGTATTATTTCAGCTTACTCGATGACAATATGGATCTTTTAATAATGAAAACCAAAGTCGACATCGCTCACGTGTTGAACGACTGTTATTTTGTTTAAAAGGTGCAGAAAATAAATGTGACTTTTTAGGGTCATCTTTGAGTTAATAGAACGAACTACATTTTTGGAAGCATTATCGCAAAAACCGACTTTTTTATAGGCTGTACAGAATCGGTCCAAATTTTGTTTTCTGAATAGCTTATTGAATGGATGTACGGGCAGAAAGTATCTCCTGATTCAAATCACTTTTCGCATTTTAATAATAATGAGGAATATCAGCAAGACCGAATCGCTTTGCCATCTTCAGAAAGTTGCGGTGGAACTCGACTTTGTCTCAACCAGGCAAACGCAAGGCCGTTTCGGTGTCTCTTTGTGATCTCCAAGTGTTATACAACAACATTACTTCTCGAAGAATATGCTGATTTGTAAAAACTGACAGAACGTTCCGAATCTATTAACATTTCCGATGTTAAATACTAAAATGTTTGTCTGTTATAGGATAAGTTAAAATGTCTGTTATAGGATAAGTTGGCGAATGAGAGAAGTCAAACCGAGCGGATTTTCTATAAAGTAGAAAATCAACATTTTCTAAGCAGTCAGAAAATCGCTGAGGATTTTATAAAAGTTGAAAAATCCTTGGCGATTTTCGAGATCAGTTTTCTGTAAAGTAGAAAACAGGCATGGGCGAGTCCGAGTCCGGACTGGGAGATTTTTTTGCGGACTCGGACTGGAGATTGTTTTGCGGACTCGGACTGGAGATTGTTTTGAAGGACTCGGACTCGGACTTGAGTTTTTGTATTTTGAGTCCGATCTATTCAATTTTTAACACAAATGAACAGAGAAAAATGAAAAGCGAAATAACAACGCCTTCTGTTTCGTAAGAAATTGAAAATTTTGTTCTGGAGACGGAGATGCAAAGTAACCTTATTTTCGAAAAATCAAATATCTATCCAGGGCTCAGTAAATTAAAAAAGAGAAATAAACCACCCTCATCAAAAACGAATCTAAAAGATTACCGGACTCGAAATGGACTCGGGCTCGGACTCGGTCCTTAATGTTAGGGACTCGGAATAAATTTTTGAGGACTCGGACTCGGTCCCTCCCGGACTCGCCCATGCCTGGTAGAAAATAATTCCAAATTACAGTGTACATAGATTGCCAGTTAACAAAGTTTACACTCATAAAAACAAAATGCAATCTTTGTAAATTTTTCATTTACCCAATATGTGACTTTTCTTGAACGTATGTTGTCCGTGTTGGAACATATGACAGATATTTCCATGATAAAAAAAATGTATGCTTATGACATCACACTTATGACATCACACAGTGGATGTCATAAGCATACATAGTAAAATGTAGGCATATGACGTCACACTCAGTGGATGTTTTTTTACATGTTCGAAATAAAACACTTTTGGGTAAATTATGCTCAACTTTTCGAGTTTTGTTTTGCCCTCTGATTTACATATTGATCCTGTAAAACCATTGTATTTAAAATTTATTCGTACTTTATGATTTCCAATGGTTTTTCATTTCGTAAAATTATTACTAGTAGAAAGATCCTCGAGTGTCTTAGATCTTAGCCAGTTTTTTATGCTATTCTATAGTTTTAAATTCACTTTTCAATATGTAACGTTCACTAGAGCTTTTTTTCTCATGTCTTCTTTTTAGATAGATTGCTTACACTTGTATTACGATAACCTTGATTTTAGTCGACTGTATTAAATATCTCTGGCAATGGTAAGGATACCAGCAGTTTAAGTGTATCATCGTTGGATGATCAAGTTGTATTTGAAAATGTCTGTGATCAATATCTGAAGGGACAACATTTGCTGTTATTTTTATTTGTTAAAAGATATTAAAACAAATGAAAACGACAAAACTGGCTTATTTCGAGTAAGTTTTTGCGACAAATTCTAAAATATGAATTAAAAAATATAGAATTGAATTTTTCGAAAATATTCAATAATTTGTTACGCATATATCATATTCTGTTTATATGATTTTTAGGTCGGTTGCACAAATGTAAAAGATTCATTTCCATTCGCAAAATCTGAAATATCATCTGAATCAAAATTGTCGTATATCAGGTCAAGCAATATTTCCTAACGATCCTTTACCAAAACTTGATGAAGAATTTTATGAATTTTGTTATATTCTCTCATCAACAAAACGATCGACTGGCTCTTCGATACCATTTCAATTAAATTGTTTAGATGATGATATTTGTGTCTACAATCGAGACAATGAGCACAATCAAGGTTAGTAGTGCGCCACTCTGTACACTATTTTCATAGACTATGGAAGAGAGATAGTAAAGTACGAGAGATAGTAGGAGAAAAATTTCTTGAAACAAAATGGAGTGAGATGGAGAAACAGTCGAATTTTAGAGCGATTTATCTTAGTAACATTGACTCTTATCCGTCCTCTTTCATGTCTTTTAGGTCATCAATCGACTCTTGCTGTGAATAAACGTAGTGGCAATGATTTAGTTACTATCGATTTAATTAATGGTGAAACAAATGGAGATGATTCCGATTTTATTGTGATTCAAACTAAACACACACACACAGAAAAGAAACTAAAAAATGATTATAAACATGTGTTATTAATAAATCGAAAATTAGAAAAAGAAAATGATCAATTAAAAATGAAAATGGATCACACTGAACTGCAATCAAATGAAATTATTAAGAAAATGAATCAGGATATCATCGTATGTAATTTAAAAAAGAGATATAAACGAATTTTTATAGTTAATTGATTGTGTTTGTTTTAGGCCAGAGAAAAACAATATGCATCTCTCACTGGCGAATTGAAAAGTTACAGTCAAGATGAAATCTCGTTAAAATCTACTTATTTGAAATGTCGTGAACTTTGTTCAACACAAACTGAAACAAATCAGATATATGCATTGAAACTCGCAGAATTGGAAACAAATGCGCAAAAAGCTCAACTTATTTACGATGATACAAGTGAAAAATTACAACAACAAACACAAACATGCATAGCACAGTAAACACAAATTGGTAAGTTAAGATTAGCAAATACTAAAAGCAGACTCACAAGATCTTTGCGAGTCGCTCTAAAACATACTAAAAGGAGCGTTTTCGATATAACTTTGGCCAGGTGAGGGAAGTTTTACAGAGCAACTCTAAAGTATTTCAAAGTTATTTTCTCTACGGAGTATAAGTATCTTTAGTTTGGATCCAACTGCTAATTTGTATTACACAGCTTCTTGACCCAAAACATTCCGATCTATACGGATCAAAGTCATTATAAGCAAGACAGAACCGGCTCATATCTATCACCGGACTCCGAAATTTTTAAACGCGATTAGAGTCCGGGGGAAGGCGATATTCGGAATCAGCGTCCCAGGTGAAACACGCTTTGTAAGACCTTGCAAGATCTGATGTTTTCTTGTGAAATCTTATAATAAGATCTTACGATATGATCATACAAGATCTTATTATAAGATAATATAAGATCTTATGGAATCTTGTAACTTCTTGTTATAAGATCCTCCAAGATCTGGTTATGAGAAGTGACAAGGTCTTGTAAGATCTTATGACAAGAATTCATATGATCTTGTAAGATCTTACAAAATCTTGTACGAGATATTGTTGACTTTTATATATTTTCTTGTCGCAAGACCATATAAGATCTTACAAGATCATATGAATTCTTGTTATAAGATCTTACAAGATCGATGACTCATCTCTACCACATAAATTTTGCGACATAATACAGTATATATATATATAACATCATTCTCTTTTCTCTTTTGAACTTCACACGTCAGTTGAGCACACATGATTAAGAAACGTGCCAAAAGACGGTCCTATGGCCGCCTAGGGCCAAATGTTAGAAATTATATTAGAAAAGAAAAATGCCGAGGTATAGAGGATTCGACAGGAAATGACCAAGCGTATGATCTTGTAAGATCGTATAAAATCTTGTGACTTCTTATAAGGTCGTATATTTCTTATATCTTCTTTGTGTAAGATCTTATCAGATCATACAAGATCTTGTACATTCCTATGATAAGAAAAATCTTATAAGAATCTTGCTACAAGATGTCATATGAAATCTTGTAAGATCTTATAGGAAATTGATAAGATCTTATGATTTCTTATTATATGATCTTGTAAGATCTTCCAAGATCTTGTTATCTAATCCATGGACCTGGGGTGGTCGATTGCCTATCGATCCATAATGAGCTACGAATCTATACTCTTGTCGTCTGGTCTACTATCAAGTACAGATGACAGAAAACGAAACCAATAAGTATGAGTATTTTTCTTTCTTATAGTAGAATTTTTCGTTGTTTTTCAACATTTTCTTATACGCTTTAGTTTTCTTTGGATCAGAACAGACAACTCTATTGAGTAGATATCGAATGCAGCTGAAGTGCGTCGAATCAGCTAGAGCTGTCATCCATCACACAGAGAGATTGTTATATGTTAATACTATATTTTTTGTGACAGTTTTTAGACTTGACTGTTCCTGTTTTACTCGGACTTTTCTTCGAGAACACGGTACAATTAGTTTCTGGAGTTCCTCTCACTATGCCATAGTCCTTATACTACAACCGACTTCTGAGAAAGATTTTATTTTTTTTTGTACACACACAATGATCAAAGAAAAAGTTGGAAGAATTCACCTCTCTACTTGCTCGCTGAACCTGCGATGTGCTGTTTTAGTAATTACTTGTATCTTCCAAATTTTACGCTGAGGCAAAAGCAGAAGATATAAACTACAAAAACGACTCGAAGTGATCTGCACACTACATTAAGAAAATAACAAAATGACTTTTATATAAATCACATTCTGTTTTTGCACGTTTCCTGTAACATAAAAGGAGAATAGCAAAACATTCTCAATAACGCACGTGACTGTCGTATCACTTTGAGAAAGAAAAAACAGAAGTTTGAAAGTGAACTCTATATACAATATCTGAATATAAGATGAAGTTATAAAATTTATATGACAGCCACGTGCGTTATTGAGGATGTTTTAATTTTCGACTTTAATTTTCGGAAGTACCCAGACAAAAATTATGGACCGATAGGCAATCGACCACGCTGATTCCGAATATCGCCTTCCCCCGGACTCTAATCGCGTTTAAAAATTTCGGAGTCCGGTGATATGATTTTCTCGACCTTATTTCTTGCTCACGATAATGCAATATAAACAAGACTGATTTAAAAGGAGATGATGCAAGAAGCTTTTAATTTTTTTATTCATCTAATATCAACGGCAGTTTTCTTCGATCCAGCAATCGACTACCACCATTTTTTCCTAATAAAATTTCGAACGCAGTCTATAAGTTATGCATTGTAAAACACTGATATTACGCTGTAAGAAGTAACTTAGCCATTCTAGCACCAAATCAAATTAGGCCAATATTGATCTAGTAGTATTGTTCGCAACAAACAATAGAATGAATATTATTTTAGATGAAATTTGTGATAGCCCTATTTGCGGGCCTATGATGCGTGTTTCGTCATTACCATTTCGTTTATTAGCATTGGAATATGGTGCTGACATTGTTTTCTGGGAACAATTAATTGATTTTCGATTGAGTAATTGTGTGAGAGTTGAGAATGGTAAGTACGATGCTGTTTAAAGAATTGGTTAAAGAAGGAAAATTCAGTAACTCGAAATCTAGCAGAGATGAAAATCTAAAACTCTTTGTGATCATTGTAGGCAGTAGAACGATAGAAAAGGAATGTCTAGAAATTAAAAAAGTATAATGCTTATTCAATAAAGTTGATGCGCAGTGTTCTCCTTTTTCTTGACGTCGCATGCCGATATGTGTATATGAGACATAAGGAATACATACATCAAGGAGTTCGATACACAATTTTTCCTTTCTGCCTACGATCTTTACGATCCATTGTCAGTTTCACTTGTGTCACATGGTACTGTTACATATGAGTGTTAGACTTGCTAAGAAAAAGTGAATATTTGTATGTTATTTCGCTAAAGAATGTGCAGTCCGTCGTATATTTTTGTTCTACTTTTCAGTCAGAAACAGTAGTATTTAAACACTGATTTTAGATTTCTTGTCATTCTAGACAAATGGCGTTTCAACAACATCAGTTTACAGTAGAAGGTGGGAGATTGATGATAGTAAGTAATCCTGCGGCTGATTGCCGAGCCTTGAACATTAATTAACATCCTTTATTTTAGAACTACTCGTGTTGTGCTGAATCATCAAAAGTAAGTAACAGATCGAAAAAGAAAAAAAGACACTAATTGTACTGGTTTATTTCAGATGAGTAATCAGCTAAAGCGTGTAGCCATTATCGGCTCGGGAAACTGGTAAACACGACCCACATGTCGAGTACTTCATTGTTTATATTTGTTTTGCTTCTATTTAGGGGTTCAACAATCGCAAAAATCGTCGGTAATAATATCAAAAACTTTGGAGCATGTGAAAATGAAATTAAAATGTATGTTTACGAAGAAATGATTGATGGCAAAAAATTAACAGATATTATTAACCAAGAGCATGAAAATAAAAGATATTTACCGGGACATAAACTGCCAGATAATGTTGTAAGTCTGCTAGTGTAACAATATTAAAAAAATGCAGCGATAGCGATTTGTTTTGAGGAGGTACTTGAAGAGACCACGGTAGAATCTAACTTTCTTTCGAACAGACAAGTAACACTTAGTCTATCCAAAAAGTCTCATAATTTGTAAATGCAAAATTGTTTTTTAGCTGGCTGCTAGTAGTATTTAGCTTCGTCACGATACTATGTTTATTTATTTAATTTTTTCGATCTTTTGTTTATTTTTTAGGTTGCATGTCCCGATGTGGCTGAGTCAGCTAAAGATGCTGATATTTTATTAATTGTACTTCCTCATCAGTTTATTGAGCGAACATGTTCGACAATGAAAAATCAAATTAAGAGAACTGCCTTTGCTGTCTCATTTTCGAAGGTATTTTAGTTTGTTCTATCGTATCTCTTAGTTAGTTTAAGTGCTGTTTTCTGTATCATGATGGAAAACAGGACAAATTTCATTTTATCATTCTAACCGTAGATGTAGAAAGACCAAAGTCTTCCAGTTCTGGTAGTTTATTCGTTATGCAAACGCAGCTATTTTACCAGTAGCACAAAAAATCGATTTGGGGACTATTTATGACACGTTGTTCAAAGAGTGAAGATGAACAAAGAAGACAAAAATCCAAAAAGTATAATTTTTGTACAGAACTGCTCTACAAGATATGATAGTTATTAAAGTTTTAAAGTCCCGAATGTCATCCGTTACATGTTATTTTTGCTTTTCTGTAATTAATGCAGATGAACTCGAATATTTTTAAAAACTAGCATATCTTGTCGACCAGTTCTGTACAAAATTATACTTTCTGGATTTCTGCCTGTTCATCTTCACTCTTTGCACGTCTTTCATAAACAGTCCCCATATTGATTTTTTGTGCTACCGGTAAAATAGCTGCGTTTTCATAATGAATCAATTTCCTGAAACTGAATTCTCTCATTCTGCAGCGGAATGTTCAGTTTATTCGATTGTCCGTTTGAAGTTTCAAATAAGACATCAGTCTGTTTGTAACTATTTTCTGAGAAAGAGCAAAAAAAGAGGACCATTATGTGTCCAAACTGTATTGTACAAATAGAAGTTCGAATAAATAAACTGAGTATTACAAAGCAGAGTTCACAACTTCAACCTTCATTTGTATTTATTTAGATTAGTTATTAGATCTATATGTAGTTATGTATTTTAGGGTTTTTATGTAAATAAGGACAAAAAAGCTGAATTAATATCCGCTGTCATTAATCGTCAGTTAGATATACCATGTTACGTTTTAATGGGTGCTAATAGTGCTAATGAAGTTGCATCTGGTACATTTTGTGAAGCAACAGTGGGATCAAGAAATTATGAACATGCACAATTAATCAAAGATCTTATTCAAACAGATGGTTTTAGAATTGTTATTAAACCCGATACAGAAGTTATTGAAGTATTAGGAGCGTTAAAAGTATGTTTTATTATGTTTATATGCTCGTTAGAATCTTTGTGTGCAGTAGAGAGTGAAGTGAGCATGCTCTGCATTTTGACAGATTATAACATAGTTATAAAATTGTATTTTTTTTTATTGTAACTGCACTAAAAACAAAGAACTGTACTCTTCGTTGTCACTTAAATACAAGCTACGAAACGAAATGGGATGAGAAATGCCTGTGTATAAGATGAAATATTTACAATAATTTTGTTTAGAAGTCGCTGAATTTTTCACTTATTATTATTCTTTTTCTACGACAACTCACTTTCTATTCCCACTAACTATTTATTTTTATTTTTTGAGAATATCGTTGCTGTGGCCGCTGGGTTTAGCGATGGATTAGGTTTTGGTGATAACACAAAAGCAGCTGTCATTCGTTTAGGCTTGAAAGAAATGGTCAAATTTTGTGAAGAA